CATCGGCAAAGGGCCCAGACTCTATGAGATAGACAAAAAGGGACTGTAACTCCGCATTGTTGAGGATAGGAGACAGTTCTTTGAATGCGGTGGCAATGCCTTGTCTGGCTTCCCAGGGGTCAGAGAGATCCATTCTTATAGGAATGCCATATTCGTCAAGCTTTTGCGCTCTTGGTTTTGCAAGGTCGAGGTAGGACATCTTCAACTTTGACAATAGAGACTCGACGGCGCTCCTCTGCAAGACCGCCGCTTCTGCGAGTGATCTAGCGGCTGATCTGCGCAACTGCGCATCCTTGCTCTCCAAGTGCGGCACCAAGGTAGCGATGGCAGGCTCTTTTATGGAGAAATTGCTTTCCTCCCAAATTTCGCGGCCAAGCTCCCTGTTTTCTTCCAGGTCGTCATGGCAGGCTAACCATATCTCAGCGGAATATTGAAGTTCGGACATATCCACCTCTGCACTGATTGACTGCAAAATAGCAGTACGGACTGTACCAGAGGGAACGATTGCTCCTTTGGCCAGAACACGCATCTCGCCCTGACTGATATTGGGAGCAATACAGCGGCAAATGTCTGCGAAACAGTCTTTGATAATCTTATAGTGCTGGGTGTACCGTGTCATCGCATCCACCAAAGTCGTAATCACCTCGGCACGTGGGAGTGATTCATCCTCGCAGACATCAGTGTGAAACGAAATGACTTCTACAGCGAGGACAATTTGAGCGTCGCGGTCATCTTCTGTTACGCCGACTCCACCAGTATGCAAAATGTCCAACAGAAGGGGTAGTATATAGGTGAGCGTGGCGACATCGAAGGGCCGTTGCTCACTGGCAAACCTCAATCTGTAGAGTATTCTTGTCACGAGAGCTTCGAGAGGCTCCTCACAGTAGTTTTCTGGTAGTGCCACATCGTGGAGTCGTAGCGTAGCGGCGCCAATGAAAGGTCGCATGGCTCCGAGTCTCGCTGAGATCTTCTCGGAGCACTTCAGAACCGCCATGGCAACGACCTCCCCGACAATGACAGACGCGCCTTCCCCAATAGCATCAAGCAGTAGCCTCACGGACTGGCCAAGCCACAAAGTGGCATCGGTCGGGGGGCCAGCAGCCAACGCTTCGATAATACCAACGCCGCGGTGAATCTTTGCCTGCAGCTCTTGCACCGACTTCCGGACTCCCCTTTCTTTCTTCAGTTGAGCATTTACTTTGGACGCCTCCTCTCCTGACAATTTCTTGGTCTGAGCTTTTCTTTGCTCGATTTGCGCCCGTGAATTTCCCTCCCACCTATGAATATCTTCTGCTGCGCTTTTCTTACTGGGTGTAGTGCTCTTCGCCTTTTTGTCTAGGATATCCACAAAACACGTCCCTTCGGGCGTTCGTGAAATAGCCATCTCCAGCGGACCGATAGAACGAAGGACGTCAGGATCCAAATCCCGCCCAATCAGTTCCATCAGTCGAGGAACAATTACAGTAGGGGCGACAAATGCGAGTTCGGCCGCGGCATTGTACGCTGCTTGCTTCACAGCTGTGGGCTGATGTCGAACTGTTAGTAATTTTGTCCAAAATTTTGCAGTTTGTCGGTACTAACCTGCTCGGGTGCAGTTCTAGATCCAACCTCTTCTAATAAACTGTCTCGATGTTTGCGCGCCAGGTCGCCAGGGTCAATTCCCATTCGAATGACGGTATCGATCCAGTTCGAGTTTGGAATAAGCCCTGGTCGCGCCAAAACAATGATTGAGCATGCTTGCTCTTCCAGATAGCCTTTAGTTGTTGAATCACCACTATTTGGCATCTCTGCGGGACTCAAAGATATTGATCGAAGCACTTTCCCAAAATTCGTGCTTCCCCGCTTCACCTCCTTCTCGTCGCTGAGCAGCTGGCCAAGTGCATTCCACAACCCGTCGACGATGAAGCCAGATATAATGCCGGGTCGTTCTGTGTACAGCTTTGACAAGGCCTGTGAAGCTTTACGCTGTACAGCAGGAGTAACGGAGGGGTTGGAAACGAGGTAAGCCATAGCTTCGGCCCATGCAAGAGAAGTGGCTTCACTTGTTTCGGCTGTAAGAGATTCCGAGGAGGAGGATAACGCTCGAAGAAGCCATGATAGGTCTTCCTCAGTGGTAGCCTTGTTATAAACTTTCGCGTTTAACAATATCGGTTGCTTATCTGTGACGTTGAGTGCCCTGCTGGTTATGTCTGCTCTGGCAAGCAGTTGTGCCACATTGGAATTCTGATATTGATGCTCGAGCCTCTTACACAATGCCATGAGAACGTAAGCACCTACTATCAAGCCATTCTGTGCAGCCGTTGCGGGATTTGAGGCAACCTCGTCCAGAGTCGTTACTAGTTTTGAAATAATAGCTTCAGCGAATGAACTAGAGTTAGTGACTGAGAGAGCCTCATTATTGCCCCACAAGATTTGTCCTGCACTCAAGATCCACAGCTTCCTGACAGAGACCTTTTTGTCTGCAAGCCCTTTTGTAAGCGCCTCTTGGATACCTGGAGGCACGGTCTTGTCACTTCTCAGTATGAAACCAACGGCTCGGCCCAGGGCTCGAAGCTCAGCAGATAGTGCTGCCTCGTTTCCTTCTTTGGCTGCAACAGCTGCAAGCGCCTCAGAGACAGCTTCTGACGTAGTGAAAGAAAGAGGGACGCTCTCCAGCATAGAAGCGTAGAGGATACGATGGTCGGCAGAAGCAACCTTGCCAGCCCTCAGGGGGGTGGATATTTCTTGAATGATGCGGTTGATAGTTTCGTGATCTTGGCAGTGTGTAATTGCAACACAAAAAACGTTGACAGAAGCGTCTCGAATTGATGCATTCGTCGATTTGAGGTTTGAGATAATTGGCTTAAGAAGGCGCTTTTCCAGGATATCCGATAGTTCGAGTTCTTTCGGAAGCGAGCTGATAAGTGGTTTCAAAACGCCCGTCAGGATGACCTCTGGAGATCGTAACAGTCCCTTCTCAATGTTTGGCATAATTTCCGCATTGAGCGCTTCCTTTGTCGAGAACGCGGCAAAAAAGTCGTCTAGGCCATTGGCAATGTGGATAGGTATAGTGACGCGAGAACCGATCACTTCTCTAGTATAGAACTCGTTATATATCGACCTCAAGGGAGAGAATGATGTTTTCAGCAGCGGTGAGCGAGCGCACACTCCCGCAATTACTCCCAGTATCGAAGTGTATTTGGCTGTAGGCTGCGGTTGCTTTTTTGTAAGGATTTGGACGGCATCTTCTAAGGATTTCTTGCCAGAACCAGCCGTGCCAAAGAGCTTCCGGAACGCGCGTCGGGTAACAACTAGAGCCGATCTGGCAATGCCATGTTTCAGCGGATGCTGGAGACATTTTTCTAGAAATTCAGCATCTGAGATAATGATGTCTTCCCCAAAGGTCTCCCATTGGTGAGTCCCGGCGAGATGTTGTATGAGAACGCTACACCACTCCACCCAGACAAACGCTGTTGACTTGGTAACTGCTTGCTTCTGGCTCTCTTTGTGTACAGTTTGAACAATCGTTCGAATGATATCGGCTTCAGTCTTCACCGTGACAAGGGATGTCAAGCATCGCTGCACGGCCAATCTCGATTCGCGGTCTTGGTAAAACGGAACAGTAGCAAAGAGGGACGGAAGGACGGCTTGAGTGTCATTTTGACCGAGCCCTGGAGGTTTATTAGCGCTGTTGACTACCCCAGGTATTGTCTTGGCATACTTTGGTGCACAATTGCCTCCTCAAGAGACTGGAGCCACGCAATACGAGCAGAGGTTGAAGACGAGGCCAGAATTCTGACCGTCTCTGCAAGGTTGAATTCGGATGAAGCGCCCCCGCTGCTGGGAAATGTTTCGGACATGTCGGCGCAATTCTGTATTCGATAGGGTTACGAGACCATCTGGGGCGATCAAAGCTACACCGCAGCCGAAATATTTGTAGTCGCGAAGCACGGCCAGGGTTGGTGTTTTAGGCAGAAAGCGAGGATCTAGGACCCCACGTTGATGATTTTCACCGCCCACTGTTCGAGCTGGTGTACTTCCGTGCGGAAATCTCTTCACAAATTGCAAAGGGGACCGAATTCTTATTGGTCATGCATGGTTTTTGAGTATAGTTGATTTAAAAATCATAAAGTTTATATTGCTCGAGTTTTGATGCCACCCATCTATTACTCTGTATATGCGCGAGGTTTTCTGATTAGGGCTTTTGGCTAGGATTCTCCATTGGCACATTTGGCGAGGTTAGCTTGGTATGACTCAATTGTCCAACCATCAGCATTTACCTGAGAACATTACATTAAATAATTTCAGGCTCTACATTGAGAGCTGAGCAATGCTGATTAGCTCTTTGAGCTGCCACGGACGCAGTTCGCCTTAACGCCAGTCAGTAGGTTTTATCCGTAGAGTCGTGCTTCGCGCGGAACGTTGCTTCGAACTTTTTCTCTGCGGGGCAGCTCTTGCTAAGCTACCTACCTAGTTATGAAGGATGGGGGTCAAAAGCAAAATATAAATATATTGTCGCCGGCATTTAACCTTCATTAACTGCGGATCCTGATATACTATGATAAAGCACTCAAGTTGCTATGATAGCTACAAGCACATTGCAGCTTCGCTCGAGCTTGCCATATTACATAGAGAAGCTGTTGTTTGGCACGCGCGGGGCCGTTTCCGTACCTACCTAGGTATGAACTAATAGCGGTACCTACCGCGAGTAAGGCCTGTTTTTAGACAGGGCACTAGACAGGTCTCTTTTTTAATAGCTAATTTTCCCCTATCATAACGCTGTTAGGCCGTTATTATATTTGAAAAAACCCCTTTATATTTTTTTATAAGCTGTGTTAGATACGTTGATAGCGTTGTGATAGGGGAAAATTATATGTTGAGCGGAAAACGTGTCCAGTGCCCTGTTAGAAAACAGGCCTCACGCGCGTAAATACCTACGCTTCGCCCCACGTCTTAAACCAGCTTAACATCTCCCACCCAGCAGCACCACTACTTAACGGTCATTTTAACCATTCGTGACCATGGCCGGCAATAAGAAAAAGAAGAAGCCAGCGGCTAACCCTGCGCGAGGCTTTGCGACCACCTCCATTGCAGCTAAGCCACGACCCGAAGCGACCGAGTCGCAAACAGCTGCGCCATCCAGTGCCCCTCCTGATAAAAACGATGTCCCTCCATCGACCACCGAAACGCCCAAGGCGGACAGCAACACGTCGGAAAACCCACTGAGTGCCGAAGAGTTTGAAAAGCAACTTGAGGAATCTGAACTCCAGCTTCTAGTGGAAAAATTAGCCCAGAAGTGCAAACGCGATGCGGCTCGGCAACGTAATCGACTGGAAACAGACCGGAGGCTACTTCGAGGCCAAGCAGAGTCTGTCAACAGCTTCAAGTGGTTCAGTGCCGATCTTATGGACCATATTCAAGATCTTATCTCAGGAGAAACTCGGTTCTCAGTTTCCAGCTTATCAGCAGAAAGCCATGGTGCTGGCAAGATGCCATCCGAAGAAGAAATGGTTTCCCGCTTGTGGACGCTACAACTGACGTTGCAACATGCCGGTTTCGAGGAGAGTCGAGTCCGCTCAGCTGTTAAACATATCCTCGACATCACACCGAGCATATCCACCCCCGGTAAAGATTTAATCTGGGGACTGGAAGAATCCCTCGACTGGCTTGCGCGCGAATGTGGCCTGGAGGAATTGCCGGCTTATGATAACAGGCCGAAACCAACTTCAAAAGGTGACTGGCGCTTGAAATAACTCGCGAAGAAGTGCTGTGGCTTATTATGTGAACAGGAGAAACGCCAAGCGATAGCCCAATCCCTTCGAGATCTACGACCCCCAAGCCGAATCGCCACCTAGCTGGTAGAGGTCTTGACGGACGAGACCGAAAGATGCAGTCACCCGTAAAGAAAACAATTGCCACATGCGACAGCGATGTTGAACCCGACGAGTTGATACCCGAGTATATTAGCACCAAAACGAAGCTGTTGGAGCTCTCCAGAACTCCAGCGGCTGTTTCCGATGACAATGCAATGACTGTTGCAAAACTTGAAGCTAAAATACAGATGATCGAAAACGATGTATTGTTTGACAAGCCAACTGCCGAAGCACAATGGCGAGGCAAGAAGATTGCGGTGGAGCAGCAGCTGGCAGTTACAAGAAAACAACGGGAAGCGAAACGTGAAAATGCAGTGCCTATGGAATCCCTGGTGCTGGAAGACCCCAAAGAAAGAGGTATAAACAATGAAGCTGAGCGTGTTGCTGCAGAAATTCTTGCGCAGGTTGAAGACATGGACGACCTTGAAGGATTGTTCGACTCCCTGCCACAGAGTGAAATAGATCCCGCCACAGGAAAGTCGCAAATAGTCATCAACAGTGCCGATGGCAGAAAAATGGTACTCAAGGACTTTGGAAAGTGGACAGGAATGGGACCTCGCCGCATTTTGGAGGAAGCCTGTCGATCAAGGTATGTCAACTACTAGTGACCATCTAGGCACAACATCATACCAACACACAATTAGGGACGCGACCGTCAAACTACAGTACAAAGTCATATCTGACGCTTCATTTGCAAGCCAACAAGCTCTGGACATTTGGTGGAATAAAGCGCAAGAGCAAACTCAACCAGTGCCCACGACAGATGTGTCGATAGACATATTGTCAAGCCATTTTTCTTTCAGAATGGATGGCGTCGCCACTCCTGACGCTAAACAATCCGAAGCATACATTTCTACTGTGGCTCTCTTTCACATATTTAGTAGCAATGCGAGAGAAGAGAAGGTTAATCTACGACTACCACCAACTTGGAAAGATCTCTGGTCAGACCTAGCGGACGCTAAGAAGAGTCATGCAGATGCTGCAGACCGAACTGTGGTGAAGAGTTTACGCAGCCTGATACGAGAAAGACTCGATCAGGAGTTGGAAGATGGTGTTATAATACAAGGCGCGTTTCGAGGGCGTGGCAGCACCAAGCAACATTCCGAAGCGACAGACCAGAGCGGCAACCGTACCAAGCAGAATAATAGCAATGTTGATATGCTGCGAAAGATCTGGGCAGATAAATCTGGCACCCCAAGGTTCCAGTCCATGCTAGTAAGCATGGTAAGCAATACTTTACCAGAAACCCGCTAACAAATTTTTCCAGGTGTCTCGCATGCAACTACCAATGTGGAGTTTCAGATCGCAGGTTTTGGAAGCTGTCGCGAACAACCAAGTCGTTATTGTGTGTGGTGAAACTGGATGGTAAGTCTTCTCACTATAGATACTGAACTCAACTAACGGCTTCACAGCGGGAAAAGCACACAAGTTCCGTCATTCATTCTTGAGAATGAATTATCCAATGGACGACAGTGTAAAATTTATTGCACTGAGCCTCGTCGAATCTCCGCCATCTCACTTGCTCGTCGCGTTAGTGCAGAGCTGGGCGAGAACTGTAATGACATAGGGACAAATCGCTCACTTATCGGCTATTCCATTCGGCTCGAGGCCAATGTCTCGAAGGAAACTAGGTTGATATACGCAACTATTGGTATTGTCATGCGCATGCTGGAAGGCTCAAATGACCTGAAAGACATTACACACTTGGTTCTGGACGAAGTTCATGAACGTTCGATCGACAGTGACTTCCTTCTGATCGTTCTGAAGCGTTTGATGATTCAAAGAAAAGATCTCAAAGTCGTTCTCATGTCGGCCACTGTTGATGCAGATCGCTTCTCTGCATATCTGGGTGGAGCTCCCATCCTCAACGTCCCCGGAAGAACATTTCCGGTCGAAGTTCGTTACCTGGAGGATGCCATTGAGCTCACCAGCTATACACCTCCAAATTCGGCTGGTGACAAGATGGTGGATTTAGATGACGATATTGGCGACGCTGATCCGGACGCCCCTAAGAGTGAAATATCACAATCCCTCGCTGCGTACTCACCCAAAACGCGCAGCACCCTCTCCCAGCTGGATGAGTATCAGATTGAGTTCGATCTGATTGTGCAGCTAATCGCTCGCATCGCCACAGATGAAGATTTGCAAAGTTACAGCAGTGCCATTCTTATTTTCCTTCCTGGTATCGCTGAGATCCGAACACTGAACGATATGCTTCTCGGCGATCCACGGTTTGCCAAAGAATGGCTGGTGTATCCTTTGCATTCTACCATTGCAACTGATGACCAGGAGGCCGCGTTCTTAATACCTCCTCCTGGCATGCGGAAAATTGTGCTGGCAACGAACATCGCTGAAACTGGCATTACAATTCCGGACGTTACATGTGTCATTGATACTGGCAAGCATCGTGAGATGAGATTTGATGAGCGAAGGCAGCTTTCGAGGTTGATTGACACTTTCATCTCGAGAGCCAATGCAAAACAACGCCGCGGCCGAGCTGGTCGTGTGCAAAAGGGCCTTTGCTTTCACATGTATACTCAGTTTCGGCACAATAATCTCATGGGCGACCAGCAAACACCAGAAATGCTTCGTCTGTCGTTGCAAGACTTGGCCATTCGAGTCAAAATCTGCAAGATTGGTGGAATCGAGGAGACATTAGGAGATGCACTAGACCCACCTTCAGCCAAAAACATTCGCCGTGCAATCGATGCGTTGATAGACGTGCGGGCGTTGACTCCCGGTGAGGATTTGACACCACTAGGACATCAACTTGCTCGTCTTCCGTTGGATGTTTTCCTCGGCAAGTTGATCCTTTTCGGGACTATCTTCAAATGTCTAGATGTGGCTCTCACGCTCGCTGCTATACTATCGTCCAAATCACCGTTTTCTGCCCCATTCGGACAACGAGCGCAGGCAGATAATGCTCGCGCAGCATTCCGCCGAGCTGACTCAGATCTTCTTACAGTCTACAATGCTTACTTGGGATGGAAGAAGACATGCCTATCGAATAGCGGTGTAGGGAAGGAAATGCAGTTCTGCCGCAAGAATTTTCTAAGTCAACAGACTCTGTCAAACATTGAAGACTTAAAGGGTCAGCTCTTAGTGTCCCTGGCAGACTCTGGCTTCCTTCCGCTTACTGACGAGGAACGGAAGGCACTTTCACGGCAACGCTTCTCTGGAGGACGCGGCCGCCGACAGCAGCACTTCTTTGAGGTTCCTGGCCGAGTCAACATGCATAGCGATAACGATGTAGTCTCTGCATCAGTCGTCGCTTGGAGCTTCTATCCTAAACTCTTGGTGCGAGACACACCTGGCATGAAGGGTATGCGAAATATTGGCAACAATCAGTCTATCAGCATACATCCCTCATCAGTAAACCGTGGTCACTTCGACATCAAGTGGCTCTCGTATTATCATATTATGCAATCGAAGTCGTGAGTCTTATTCATTGATATCGTACTCCTGACTCAGCTAATCCCTTTCAAAGAGTCTATCGAGCCCATGAAACCACAGCGGCGGATCCCTTTGCCATAGCTCTCCTTTGCGGAGATGTTCGAATTGATGTGAGTGACGCCTGAAGGGCAATCGCTATTTGTTTGTACGAATCTAACTTCGAGTTTGCAGATGTTTGCTGGCGTCATTGTATTAGATGGAAACAGGGGGCGCTTTGTAGTGCCGGACTGGAAGACCTTGCTCGCCATCAAAGTCATTCGCACGAGATTGCGGGAGCTTCTTACGCGATCCTTTAAACAGCCAGGCAAGCTTCCCACTGCTCAACATGAGAAGTGGCTTGACGTCTGGCAACGGTTGTTTACGCAGGATTTTAACCAGGAGAAGTCAATTGGAGTACTGTCAAAAGCATAGAGGTATGGATGAGGAACATCCATCATCTTACCACAACGTAGACCATTTTTCGGAGAACCTATATAGACCTTTTTCCTATCTTGATAAATATAAGCATGTGTACTGATGATAAGCATCTCCTTGGATTAACTTGATACCTCAGCCTATTGCCTTGCGGTTGATATACTAGTTATTGTACACTACCTGTCCTTCGTGCCCCAAATGTGCTTAAATATTTCGCGTCCATCATGATTCACTTTCATTCTCCTCATCCTTCTTGTTGCCACTGGCAATGAACATAGCCTTGAAGTCAGCATTACTTTTCTTTAGTCCAGCTGATGGCGGGTCCTTGGCTGCGTCATGGCTGGCCGTTGCCACCTTTCGCGGTGCAAACCCAAAACCGCGTTTAGGGCCGGGTCGAGCGGCCGCTACCGGGCGGCGTATTGCCGAGGGTGCAGATATGAAACCGTTGCTGCTGGCAGGTTTGTCGATCCCGCTATCGCCCTGCGGTATACGCTTGTCTTTCGGGTTTGTGGTAGATTGGCCATCGCCACGCTCCGCTTTCGCGTGTCGAAGCTCCTCTAGAGATCCTATGCGTAGCCTGTAACCCTCGTATTTCATATTATTAAGCTCAAGGGCAGCTTTTCCGGCCGCAGCGGCATCCGCAAATTCCACTATGGCGCCGCCATGCCCCGGTTGCATCACCAATCGAATGAGAGATCCAAATGGCTCGACGAGCTTCTGAACTCTAGCATCATTGACGGTATCAGGAAAGCCGAACAAGGCAATTGTACGGGCGCTGAGATCTTCAGTAGCAGACTCATGATTCTTTTTGCCTGCACTGCTGATTTGCATAGAAGAATCCCCATCAGCATTCTCCTCAGCTACTGCGGTAACGGTCTTCGCAGTTGTCTTAACTTTCGACGCTGTGGACAAGGCAACCTGTAATATCTGGTGGCGGAATTTTGTATTGTTCAGTTCAGACACCGCTTTCTCGGCTTGCTCTTTGGTCGCGAAGTCGAGAAAACAGAACCCACGCGGTTTGCCTGAATATCCTCGTGGAATGTTGACCCTGGTGACTGTTCCATACTTGGAGAAGATATCACGTATGTCTGATTCCATGGCCTTGTTATCCAAGTTTGCCACGTGCACTTCACGACCTTCTGCGACAGCACCTTCGCGGTCCTTCTTTTGTCCGGGATCGGAGAATTTGCACATCAGCTTATACTTGCCGTCTAGAAGCTTTCCTCCTGTTGCGACCGCCTTGGCAGCCGCAACTCGATCCCTGAAAGAGACATAGCAAAAGCGTCGATACGCATTTACTTTCAGGCTCGGCCATCTAATGCTCAGAATGTTGCCACAATCTTGGAACAGCGCATGTATGTATTGCTCATCAGCGGCCGGAGGGTAGTTGGTGACATACACTGTCAAATCATGACCAGATCCAACTTGTATTTGGTGGTCTCCGAAATACTTTTGATCGCGAAGAAGGGCAGATTCAGCTTCAGACGACGATGAAAATTCGACCAAAGCCGTAATTGAATTCCTATTCTCATCTTTGACAAAGGCAGTGAAGTTTTTAACGTGTCCATAGTCCTTGAAATACTGTCGAACTTTGCTTTGTGTGGTATCGGGAGGCAGGTTGAAGATGATGATGGTAGAGTTTTCACGGTCACGCTTCCCTGGTTGGGGGACGACTGACTGTGTATCGAGTTCATCCTGCGTACCCTTCTGTCGCTTCGCAGGTATTTGCATTTCGTCCTTGTTCGTCAATAAGTCGTGCTTTCTCTTGTTTAAATTTTGCGCATCGTCTGCAACAGGGCCTTGTGCCTCCGGCGCGGCCGAGCCGTAGTATGCGGCGTATGCAGCAGCCTGTTCCTGCTCCTCACGCTCACGGCGCTTTTTGACTCCCTTCTCGGCCCTGTACACGCTATCCATGCATTTGCGTAGTGATTCAGGTGATTCGTAATCATTGCAGTGCTGCAGATATAGCTCGAGGACCTTTTCAGGCCAGTCAACGGTACGCCGTAGTGATGCCTTATGTAGTACGTCTGTGGCGCGCGATGGAATGCGATCCGATGGTATTGACAAGGGTCCTTTGTTTTGCTGCAGGTCCGACCAGAAGATAGACATCTCCCAGGTATAATACCGTGCCCAGAACTCATACCTGTCTGCGTAAAGCTTCACATTGGCTAGCTTTTTCCACATGGCTCTGGCTTCGGGGACAGCATCCTTTACCTCAGCAAGGAATTCCACATATATTCTCTCCAACCTCAGCTTCGGGTCGCCTTGATAATCTTTGCCGTATAGCTTTTTTCCTGTTGCTCTGACGTTCTCGAGGCACGACTTGATAGCATCATCAGCCATCGCCATGGTTTCATCGCTGTCAGTCGCACTCATCGCGTTTCGTTTGACGTAACCACACCACGACTCATACATCTCAATCAAATTATCCATGCCGCTCGAACATAACTTCTCCTGCTCTGCGGCAGAGATCTGAATCGACTGGATCGCTTTGAAGGAAAACTCGCACTCCTCGGCGCAAAGAATGTATCTAGCCCAAAGGCGGCCCGAGGATGGGCAGTGCTGGACAGCGCGACGCGTGGCATCGAACAGCTTTTCTAACGAGTGAAGCTGAGGACGCGCCGAAAGAAATGATAGATAACCATACCACACTGCTTCGTCGAATGCAAATATACCTGTCAAAGCTCTATCGTGCAGACCGGAGCAGATATCTGCTGCGAGCTGCGAGTTATGCTCGTCTTTCCAGCTTTGTGCCGTCTCCCATTCGAGATACTCCAGCATGGTCTTTTGTAATATTTCTGGGTCGGCTTTCCTACTTGATTGATTGATCCGCGTTTCGAAGGGGTCTCGCGCCGTAATGATGGCTTTGGTCGCTTGAGCACTTGATGTGACTTCTTTCATCGAAGCTTCCCACGCGCTCGGGTCGTACTCAGAGAGAAATCCGGAGAATTCTTGCGATGTATTTTCCCATGTGATATGCGGAGTTATTAGGCGGTCTTTGTATTCGTTCGCGATTCTTGTGACTGTCTCGGACTGGTTGAAGGCGGCGAGTTGATCCTTCTCAAGGGCAATCCATTTGTCCCAGAGCAAATGACTGTCACCGACGCGAAATTTGACGGCATTGTAGCCTTGCCGCCACATCTCGAGTTCCGCTTCGAGTGAGAATAATTCTTGCCCAATCGAATTTTCCTCGTTGGACCATCCCGTTTCGGCGCTGGCGCTGGTGGCGCGAAGTGATGAGAAGTACTGGCAGTACGCCAGCCATAATTTCAGGCTGCCATGCTCTACACTTGTTGCCTTTTTATAGAGCTCGATGAGACTGACGCTTTGTTCCAGGTCGGTAGCATTACGCGCAGCCTCTTCCAGGTAGGAGAGCCAGCTATCCTCTCCCAAAGGAATGGCCATAATCGAGGTCGATGTAGTGTTGGACGTGGTCGTGCTGTAATTTCGCTACCGCTTGTTTCGGCGGCGCAGAGAAAAGCTACTACGGCATTCGTTGCTGAGCTGCGCGTTTCGGTGTCGGTAATCTCTGGCCGTCGGGCGTGCAGCACCAGCTCTGTCTGTTTGTTGCTTTTGAACCGCAATGCGGCCCTCGCAGCAGCTCTTCAAGTTCTGATAAGTCTTATCGGTCGGTGTGGGGCGGACAACAGTACCAAAGTACAAAGTAATACCTAACTAGCACCATGAGGCAAAATAAACCGCTGGTTAGGAATACCATTATCTTCATTAACTATTCTTCCTATTTTCTTCCTATCATTCACTTCGTCACCCTATTTTTCTTTCTTCCTCTTCTTTTCCTTTCGCGTTTGCCACGGAAGCCCCCCATTGATCTTGATGACACAACCCCCGGGAATTCGGTATCCTTAGTAGTTTTATGACCTTTTTAGTCTAAACTTATCATCTATCTGGCAGCTACCTACCTAGGACCTAGGTACGGAGTACCTCCTGAGCCATTCGCGATAGTTGCATTTGGCATTTAGAGCCTATACCTGAACAGTCTATTCACTCTTTTCTCTTACATATGTGAACCGTGTTGACGAGCTTGCCAGATTTATATACCTACTCAATTGTGATAAAACCACGGTCTACGGAGGACTGAGTTCGTGGTAGCCTGTTGAGTGTGGTTGATAGGGTGCGAGGACATCTGGTAAAGGGTGATAACTGGCACCAACCAATGGTGGTGAGAAAAAAAGAATGAATGAGCAAAAGCGTCACACGGAATAGTTACCACGCAAAACCCATACCTAGCTTATTAGTTAAACCCTAACACCCAATTGCGGCATGCAGGGATGCTGGTACTGAAAGCGTTGATATATGTATTTGTCTAAGATACGCGGCAGTTATGCGACTCAATGCAGATGGGTGAAAGAGAAGCCATTCTCGGTCCGGCATGCCCTTGGAGACATGAAACCAGCGACAGTGAGTAAGGTTGGAGAATTGGCGAATACAAGCCACGAAGCACTGACTTGCGGCGTATGACAGCGGCAGACTGGTTAATAAGAGGAAAGTAAGTAACTAGGAAGCTTTCGGCTGGACTACATTCTGCATATTTGCTTTTACCTTTCCGTACGTCCATCATGAATGTGCTTCTTATACTCCAAACAAGTACAAGCCCCCTGATGAGCGACGGAAGCTCCGTCACCTGTGCCCGCTGCGGGCATCGAGGGGACAAGAATAGCCTGCTATCAGTTATAAACCACGAGGTTTGAGTCATTTCCAAATTTCTTCTCGTCATCATCTTTATTTGATTTTATATCGGTTGATTTAATCTCACTAGTTATTATGCCCGAGTCAAGATGTCTAGTACCCTGTCCAAAAACAGGCCTCACTCGCGTATGTAGGTAGGTAGGTACTAAGGTAACTAACTACAGTAGTGGTTCCAGGTACGTACGTCCGTTCGTGCCCTTATTTCCCGGCACAGGGGCAGTGCAGATCTTTCATCAACCCGCCACGCTCATCAATGATCAAACACGATACCTGGCAGCGATACCCAAAAGGCACTGGGCAGTCTCATTTCGGGGAGAAGCGCTGCAAAAGTGCCAGTGCTATCCTACCAGTAATAACACTCCCTGGACGGACGGGCCTGCTGCGGCTGCCTGCTCCCTGCCCCCGCAAAAAGACAGGGTTCAAACTACTCTTGCAGGTACCAAAATAACTAGTGCGCCTTGGCTCCTGTTATCCTCCTTCCTCGAAATAAGCCGTTATTAACTACCTAGGTATTATGTACTCCGTAATAACTGATGCTCTGTGCTACCCCCGTTGACGACTAACCTTGCCCGTCGTACCTGCTTGTGAACGGTGCCATCTCGTGGACTCTACTCCAACATCGCTGGCTGCCTGGTTCCGCGCCGCATTCCAATCGTTACGACCTTCCCTCCCTTTCCTCCGTCGAACTCTGTCGTTCCCTAGGTAGTTATTCGCGCCTAGCCGCGTTTCCCTCGCTCATTCTTCATCCTTTCGTTTTCTTTTTTGCTTAGCTTCCACGTTGCGCGCGACCGGTTCCGCCCCTGGCAGCTTTCTCTCTCGAGTGACGCGCAAATCCGGTCTTGTCGTACTCATGCAAATTCGCAAATAATACCCACACGCCGCAAGAATCGTCTCGGTGCTTCGTGCCCTGTACTCGACAATTCTCCAACCTTCCCCATTATCGCTGGGTTCGCGTCTGCTGGGCTTGCAACAAGCCGTGGAATACATCGAGCTGCGCTTCTGTGACATTGACCTTCTCCTGGGATAGCCCATCAAAATGATTGCCCTGCTCCCCCATTGGGCTGCTTTAGTCCTACTGGGCTTCAATACTATTACTGTCATAGCTGACGGCAGTTGTGTGGTTTGTCTTTTCGTTCTTTTCGTGATCCTGGTCCCATGTCTGACGCAAAGTGTTCCTTCCTAGCCAACCTGCGTCAACACCGTTCAAAATGACCATTACAAAGATTTGGGGTGTGTCGCTGCTGATCAAGCTGGCTGTCTCTGTGAAAAGCAAGGCTTCGTTGACCTTATTGCCGAGTGCTCAAAGACTTGCGGTGCGACTGTCGAGGAGATACGAGAAGGAATGGTCGGAGCTAATCCGTCTCGCTTCTGTGTTGGTAAGTTTTGCCCACGGAAAAGACATCCCATATGTGCTAATAGACCGCAGGTGAAGTCGCGAAAGTGCCCGCTGCCCGGGTTGACGCGTCCTCATCGCCCGCACCCCCATCGCCCTCGTTGACCTCGACAAGCCCACCCGCAGCAAGTACGCCACCTGTCTCAACATCGTCTACTCCATTGCCATCGCCAACTCCGTCATCATCGTCAACCTTGACATCGCCAAGCTTGACACCGACACCCGCGTCCCCTTCCACATCAAGCACTTCAACCACTCGAGGCACTACCATCGCAAGCACCACATCATCTGTAAGCATGAAGCACGATATCGTCGAAAAGGAAGCACAAGTCTAAGTGAATTATAATAGTCTAGTCCCACACTATCCAACCACCCGAGTACTACTACAACCGTTGCTGGCGAGACCTCTCCGGCAGCTTCGCCGGTGCCTGCCCCTGGTATTTCGTCCGGCGCAGCTGCTGGCATCGGGATTGGTGTCGCGATTGTTGTCGCGGCCGTTGCTATCATTGCGTTCTGCTTGCTCAGGAACAGAAAGAACCAGGTTGGGCCTCGACACTCTATGGAAATTTCTAAGCCACTCCCTGGTTCGGGACTGACATACCCCGCGCGCGAGGATCGGGAACGGAACCGCGATTCCTACGACAAGTACGGCAATGACATCGAAATGACAGCAAATCGCTACGAGGACATGGTTCCAAGCCAGCAGCCACGAACCATGGTGTGATGGGACCAGCGATGGCGGTTGCACTGGGGAGCAAGAGGAAGGATCACGAATTTGATCAAATCGCTTCGTACGGTGCACTCATCGATGTGGATTTTGCAATTTCGAAGCACGAAGGATTTCATGTGTATATTCAGCTTTCTTGTCTTTTTTTTTTAAGTTCTATCCTATGGATTCGGCTACTCCATATCAAAGTCAATACCTTAGTTATCGGTCATGATCGGTAACAAGCCACTGCGGGCAGAGATACGTTTTTCTTTTTGTTAGCTTCTTACAGCTTCTATTCTATGTACATATGTTGTTACAATTCTCCAGCGAGTTCAATTCAAATGGCTGTCGATGAGTGACTATGATGGCACAAATCAATGCCGTTGTTTACCAACTATAGTATGGTCGCTGGCCGTGAACACTGCGGTTGGGCAGATGGATCCATGGGCCCTTTGCGGCCTTCTTTGCTTCGCGCTCCTCGTGCTCACGCACCCTGGTTCGGTCTTCCTTGAGCAAAATAGTCAAAGCTAGAGAGTTGTAAAATTAGCTCATACGTCAGCACTATATCTTGTTCAGATCACATACATGTAGCAGGGTGCTGGATGAGGCCCATTCTGCCACGTCCCTTGGGGTCTATGCTTTTCCCGCGCCACTTTCCACGGCCGACCCAAGACTGTGCAATGTACATGCGGGATGGGTCGACGACCTCGACCCATTTGCCTTCGGTCGTCTGAATTTTTTGGGGGTTATCGTAGAGCTCGCCGTTCACCTTACCCAGGCCCATTCCGCGCTGCGCAATCGCAAGATCGCGCGCCTCTTCCAAGTAGTATCGAATCTCGGCAGACATCTTCTTCTTGGACCACGTCATCTGTGTGATGGCATCGTCGACCGACTTGCCCGAAATTTGGCGCGAGAGCATCATCAGCTTCTTCACGCTTGTCGCCATAAAGGGGCTCTTGTGGAGGAGCTGGCGTTCCGTAGTCCTGATCTTTTGCTCCTTCGTCATCCGGCCGTTCTTGCGGACCATTTGCATCACTTTTCTCCGTTGCCACCGCATGCGACCAAGGGGGTCCGGGTCGACAACCATGGCCATGTTCTCCCGTGTCTTCTGCTCGACATTTTCCGGTCGCTTGCGAGCGCTCTCCTTGGCTTTGTTGGCGTCTTTGGCGACGGCCGTCTCGATTTCGTCCTGGAAGATGTTGTTCTCGATCTTGCCGTTCATGTTGCGGTCAAGAAACTGCTGCCGCGTTTTGGGGTCATCAAGGTCTAGCCCGGCGAGTGCATCATCCTTCTCAGACTTTTTCCCCCAGTTCTTGAACAGGTTCCATTTGCGGCGTTTCTGCACAATGGTCCCTACAATAACAGGCAGCGGGTTTATGAGTGGCCCGGCAGACGCAGAAAGTTGCGAACCTGCTTGGAAATTAGGCAATTGAAATGAGAAAGCTGCCGGTGAGCTTACCTGGCGACAGCAGCCGCCGGGAGGCGAGGCGAAGACTCATCGCAGTGGTGGTTTTGCTTCGTCTACCCCTTGGCGGTGCGAATTACTTGCACTTCAAGGGTCGAATAACTAAAGCTCCCCGGCCTTATCTTTGTCTTTTTGCCGGAGACCGCGAATTTGCCGGGTGGTTATAGAGTCACGTGATGTGGCTAGCGCGATTATCGTTCGATGTTCCCATCCTCCACTGGTTGAGGAACAAGATCACTCCATCCCAATCCCGAGTCTCGCAAGACAGATAGTCACGTCCACCTCCTCCGAAACGCCGAGAATATATACAATCCCCAAAATGGCCGTCGCTCCGATTACTGGCGTACGTTCTTGCGAGCTCAATGGCACTGTGTCGTGGCTGCACGCGCAGCTCCTTGCTCCGAGCCGTTCCCTTTTGACATGACTAACCAGTACTTAGATGCTCCGCCGCCGCCTCATCATTGACCTTGGAGTTGGCCTTGGTACGTTTCGGATACTCGCAAAATCGGCCGTTCAAATGTCTCCGTTTTCGGGCCACTTGCTCGTCTGGCTTACGCAGACAGCGCAGACAATTAAGCTGTGTCTCCAACTACTTGCATGCTAACATTTGATATATAGGTGCTGGTTTCGTCATGGCTAACGCTTTCTGGTGAGATTTGCGGCGGTTCAATACGGTGTCCTGGCTGTCCTGAGTGCTAACTATGAGACTAGGTACGGCTACCACGTTCCCCGTACCACTGCCCGCGACAATTATTACGCCAAGCTCGAAGAAAAGCGTTACGCCGACAAGCAGTAAACCTCGATCTACGCCGATGTGTTGTTGGGAATGAAAGACCGGGTAGGCTGGCAAAAGCAGCCTCGGGGCTACTGAGATTGGTGAAATAGACGGTGGAATGAGAGCGCTATTCTAGGCGTACTGGACTGATTGGTCATCGGATAATGTGTACATTAGGCAGAGGCGTCCGAACAGACCTGAGCTCGGCTTCAAATCGAGTTTTCTTAGTGATCATGACGCTTCCTCATGGCGGATGATTGTTGTTCGCATATAGAATGACAGCAGGGCTGTCCATTGCTAGACCCATTCATTTGACAACGACCCAATGTATTAAATATTGGCATATATTATACAACAACTAGTGATTGACTCATTAGGTTTATAAATCAGATGTGCTGTTGAGCAGATGCTGACTGCATAAGCGCTCACAACACTTCTGGGTTTCGTCTCGACTTTCTTCTTAGGTCTCAAAGATAAAGTCCCGCGCAAGCATCCCAGTCAGATTTGGGACAATAGCCCGTTGTCCAGGACGAAACAATAAGTAGCTCGCGTTACCCTGCGTGGACCACTAAGTTGAACTATTAGGATCGGGTTTGTGAGCGACGTGATTCGCTTATGAAATTTCCAGTGCAGAAGAGCAATTATATGACTCCCATTCGTATCACGATTCTGACCAATGATTTGTCCATTGAAATGTCGTAGTCCGGTCGGGAGCGATGCTCGGTGGCGGAGATGTGCCGCTAGCCTTCCCTTCCGAAGCTGTTGTCTCGACTGAGAATGTACCATTTTTATCTTTGCACCTGCAGAAGCTCTGTCAGCCAGCCCATTACCCGAGCAAAGGGCTAGAACTCACATTCGAAAGAAGCGTGTCACAGGCCAGCAAGTGATAGGACTGTGCGGCATCGACTCATCTTTGAGCTCGCACTCCCATTGGTTCATCTTGAAGAGATCACACGCCGAAAGCTCTATCCGGTGGGTGTTCCCCTCCAGCTTGCGCCGTCGGCCATCGGCGCCTTGCTGTATACGCGCAGGCAACTCCGGGGCGCTGAAACTTGGACAAGGTGGTGACATCTTTCAAGTTATGATGGACGCGGCATTGGGTAGCCGTCTCTTGAATGAGGTGGGGGGTGAAAGTCTAGACGAGGTACGTGTTAAAATTGCCTCAGAAATCGACACCACCGTCCAGGGTAGCTAGCTGCAAAGTAATCACGATCACCCAAAAATTACCGAAATACCCTTTTTCCCCTTTTCCGCGTGCAATTTATGCATTGATCTTAAAACTCACCATTTCGTGTTTCCTCTTCTTCAGGTTCGCCCAACTGGAGTGTTATGGGACTAATTTGTACAGATCCTGGATAGCCTCCGGAACGCGCATAATCAAAGTACGGCACGTGAAGGAAACTCAACAATAAATTACAAGATCAAGTCCACTGGAGTGGATGAATTGGACGATATAATTTCCCGACACTTTCAAGACACCAAAATCGGAGGACTGTCCATCACGGGCCGCTACCTACCACTCGCATACAAGATCATCTCTACTCTTGCTTCCCCCCCGAGCAACAAAGTCATAATTGTTATTGACTATGAAGGCGGGTTTCAAGCCTCGAGACTGACCTGTAGCCAATGTGATCTTGAACACATTTATGTGCTGCGACTGGCTGAAAATACGCGCGACCAGGTCAGGGTCATCATCGCCAACACCGAAAAGTACCTGTTGTATGATGACGGAGCAAAACGGAGTGCCGGGAGAGAACTCTGGGGAACAGTAGTGCTCGGTAATGTAGGAGGCGGCGATATTACAGCCGGATGGAAAGGCTGGCTTCGCGTCGACCGAGAACAAACCCGGCCATTTCCACCAGACATAACCATTGAAGAAGCACTGCAGCAGCGAGAGGAGCGCCAGGTAGAGGTAGATAATGCTGGCTGGCAAGTGTCATCGCCGTGGGGAGGATTCGTGTTTCACGATGACTGATTCTTGTTCAAATACCGAGGACCTCACATGTAGTAGTGCCTCTTGCTATTGCCAAATGTGTAGTGGAATTCTATAAAGAAGGATAATCTTCTCTCTTTATCAGTAAATTTTGACACTTGTATGGAATGAAAACTTTTCAATTCGAAACTGCGCTGTTCCAGCTCTTGGATGACACTGTATTTGCCAACAATCTAGGCACTATATAACGAATCAATATATCAAAACTCCATACAAAATTGCATGCTATGAGAAAGGCCACTATGAAAAATCAGACAGCAAATAATTTATAGAGCAAAATATTGCTAAGATCTGAAAATTAGACCTGTAACTCATCCGGTTCGACCACAGCCAGTGTGTCGGCTGGTGTGATGTCTTGCTTTTGGAGTGTCTTCGCAACCCGCTTGCGCATTTCTCGCTGAATGCCATGGTTTACAGCGTCAAGAACAGTATCAACGGTTGCACGTGGCTTATATGCGGGTTCAGTACCCTCTTCGTAGACACCGGTCTTGACGAGAATGCTGTACCACTCGTTTTCGGCCTTTTCGTTGACGGCGTTGGTGCCACGAATGTCGCTCTCGGGGGTATCGCCGACGAAGTAGACAGTCTGAGGGGGCTTGACCAATCCATGCTCAGTCTGGCGCCACTGACCCATGAGACGATAGGCAAATTCGAACGTGGGGACCTGGGGTTTGCCAAAGGCATGCGTGTGCAGCTCGCCCTTGCCACCGGTGATATCCTTGAACGTGATTTCAAACATGCGGCGCAATGCACCCATGCCAAGACGAACGTGCTCATGTGCCGCTGACCAGACGACATCGTTATGAGAGAAGTAGAATGGTGGGCCCTGGTCAAAAGTCTCGCTGCGTTGGCTGAGAACGCCGCCCTTTGACATGGCAACATCAAGCATGATCTGGATGTCGCCAGCCCAGTCACGAGAGTCGGCAAAAACAAACACGGCATCAATTACAACGTCAGAGAAGTCCCGAGTACGCGAATTAGCGTGTTCTTCGTCTGTCAGCTTGCGAAATGGCGTCGTTGCTGCGTCATGCTTGATGATGTCGCCAGGAGTGACAACGTCCTTGAATCCGTAGCCCTCGGCGACATTGCGACAAGTCTCGCCTTCACCTCCAATGACAAGGACCGTCTTATATTGCTCAGCCATTTCCCTCATGGGGGTGTGTCCGCAGATGAATTGGCCCGGTCGGACGTCCTGTTGGAGTTGGCCTGATAGGTCTTTGCAACGCTGCTCTTCCGTTTTGCCGCCACCATTGGTAAGGAAGATATGGGGACTGTTACCATGTGTTAGATGAGCCACTACTGCCGAGTTGCTAGAATTACAACTTACATGTGTAGACCGTATTCATTGTCGCCGTTGAGTACTTGCATCGCCTTGATAGCTTCTGGAATAGGCTTACCGCCGCGGACAAGTACACCGTCAATGTCAAAGGCGAAGACGAATGCATCGGCAACATTGCTAGGGGAGTCGACAGAGCCAGGTGTTGCGACGCTTGTAGTGCTGTCAGAGACGAGATCGGGTGAGCCAGGCCTAGATTGGATGGGTGTTCCTGTAGAAACACTCATTTTTCTCTTCACATTGGCCACTTGTTCGAAGAAAGCGGCTTTTTGTTTAGGCGTCGCCATGATTTTATAGGGCTGCCAACGTTGGAGAGCTTGATGAGGTTGAAATCGAGCCGCACTAGGATCGTCTACCAAATGCTTCTGGAGTAATTGATGCGAATCTGATTGGATGGAGAAGGATCGGTATGAAGGATGAACATAAAGTGTTAAATTCCATCGTCCTAAACGGGTGGGAGGCTACAGAATATATATCTAGCCGTATTTTGTCAGTGACTTCATCATTCGGCTGCGTTTCTTCCCACCAAAGACATGCAGTACAATGACAGCGACCACTTCTTTCTTATTGGCTCGTTGTCCGTCAAGAGTAGCTAGAGATCCATGTGAAAAGGCCTCGATCCACCACAGTCCCACATACTCGCAAAACTCTGCGATGTAGTTGTCCAATTGGCAATCGCGAACTCGGAGGGATGGGGTCGAAGATTGATCGGTTCTCAGTTGTTGGCAAAGCCAAGTGCATCATCCAACCGCAGCCTGAACTAGTTCAAGCTGTCAATCTCAGCGATGACGCAGCACCAGGCCGTGACTTTGCCCGGAAGAAAATATCTTGGCAATGACCGGGTCACCCTGCCGTTGAGCAGCGTCGCGTTCTGCTAATTCTCCTTCTACTAGGCGACGACATATTTTTGTCAACTCGTTTCCCACCGGT